CTTATTATATTTTATATAATTACATAAAACAAATTATGAAAATAAAATTAATGACGAAGAATTCAAAATTCTGTACAGAATTTACATTCATATGAAAATACATTATATTTTTTAATATCATTTTGATCTAAATTAAAAATCCAATTACTTTTCTGTTTAATGTCTACGTATATATTTAATTTATTTAATAATACAACTTTTGTTGATAAAAATCCTCCTTCCCAAATACTTCTATATAATTGTCTTTGCTAATACAAACTTTAGGGAAACACCTATAATTACGTGTACCACAGGAGCTTTTATCATTGGATATGCAGATAGATCTGCATTTTATTGTTAGTGTACACAAGATGCGAGTGTGCTCCTACTGGTATACAAGAGGTATGTAAGCTGTTATCTGCATTGAAATGATATTTACCAGGAATAATTCTCTGTTATGATAATTGACAACAGCTGCCTTTGCAGCTCTTAATAAGTAGTAATACATCATTATTAGTCATGCCAGTGAAAAGTCTTGTCAGGAAGAGCCACACAGAATTTAAGCAACAACGTTTTTCTAATACTACATTAAGTGTAACGATTTTATAAGTCGTTCGTTCATATTTCTATGAAACTTAATTCCTTGCTCACAGAATAATCTTGTGCATGTTCACAAATGTTTTCATTAAAAAATATAAACGCGTACATTATAATACTGATATTATATGTGGTATTCCAGACTGTAGAAACCACTCAATTTTTAGTGAAAAATGATACCAGGTGAGAAAATCCTTGAATATATAAAATTAAATTTTAAAAAGACTAAACTATAAATAAATATGATTTTAAAGTAGTTCATGTATTTTGGAACCACCTAATCTTGTTCATTAAGATTTTCTCTTACGATTTTGTGTTTACATTGTTTACCAGAGGAAATCTATCGTGTTCACTGTCATTAACAACTTTGGACTTCATTTACAATTTCACAAAACCCGATTTAGAAAATGTGTGGCCATGTGAAGTACGTTTTTACTGGTTATCATTGCAACCGTTTGTTAATATTGTGCGTTTCCTGCTTGGATACATAACGCCGTTGATTATAATCCTCGGTAAGTGTGGTTTCAGTTAGTGCAAAGTTCTTATGACTCATTGTTTAATACTGAATTAAATACTGTTTACATAGGTGTGTTATTAAACACTGTTTCTTTCATGATGCTAAGCACTCCTATACTCTGCGAATCAAACTTGTCACTTTACCTGAAAGCACTTGCATTATCTGATAACGGAGCACTAATTTTTAATTATGCTGTGGGTATTGCAAAGTCTCATTTTCCATTCGTCAATAATCTCTTTATGGTAAGCACTACATAAACTATTTGATTTGCTTATAATATGATTTAGGCTTAAAGTTATTATTTTATTAGAATAGCAGATTTCTGTGCAGTCTGAATTCTGTTACTATGGAATTCTTTCAATTTACATCAACTTGGCTCGTTGTAGCACTCACATGGACACGAGTCTTTGCTATCATTTTCCCTTTTGGTATACCTGGTAATTGCAACAATTGTTCTGAAATGATAACTATAATTACCTTAATATGCACCAGCTTTGTAATATCATTAACAAAACTGTATTCTGGAGGTAAACATATTTTGTTATTATATTTATTATTTAATAAACATATTAACGAGATTATAAAAATATTACAAAATAGTTTTTCTTAGGATATGAAACAGACAGTGTTTTTGAATTCATACCATGTCAGAAAAAGATCAAACCATGGGGTAGTGCCATGTATTTTTACATAGCTTTATCAACTTGGCTACCTCTATTGTTCATATTTGTTGGGAATATTTTGCTTATTTGTCATATGAGAAAAACTGAAAGAATTCGTTGCCAACTAACTCGTAAGTGTAATGTATTAAATTGAAATTCAATAGACAAAAAGATATACGTATCTTCAATAACGTTATTCCTTAGAAAATTTCAAACAGAGAGCGAACAAAACGCATCACACATCTAGAATACTGTTTGTAGTATCATCTGTTTATTTAGTGCTCTTACTGCCTCTGGGCATTGTTGAAACCTTGGAACTTTATTGGGACATTATTCTGATCAAAGAACCTACTTCTGAACCAAAGAAGAAAGCTGAGTATATACACTGGTATGAATATACATAAGAGAAAAAAATTCAATCATTTATGGTGGGTAGAAAATGTATTTGAATATCCAATTTTTCGGTTGGAACTTTGCATAAAGAAGTCATTCCAGGGTTTTATTATTTTTGTAAATTATCAATGTCTCTAACTGGCAACGAGCATATATTATTCCTATGCCCAAAATGTACATTACATTGATGTACTACCTTCTTCGTAGGAAGTTACATCCAAGAATTGTATGTACAAATACTTTTTGGAGCCACTATCTATTTAGATGATTTTATCCTGAAATATTTTATCATTTTTCAGGTTGAAGGAGAAAATGTTATTAAAATGGTGCCGTGGTTTATGCTTTCACGTATACCACTGGAATTTTGCAATTAACTTCTTTTTGTATTATCTCACAGGTGAAAAGTTTAGGAACGTTGTGATACAAAAAACGCAGCACTACAAACGTGTATGTTCAAGACACATTGATAAATGTATCTCTTGTCCGAAATACCCTATGCACACAAAATCTATGCAATGTTCAAATGTATTATTGATAAAAGTCATAACACTAGGCGAACATTCTATTAACGACAGTGTTTCTAGACTGAACAATGGTAGTACCGTGACAAATATTTAAATGATAGGAAAGAAAGAAAAGAGAAAAAAATGATCAAAGACTGTTAGTATTAAACATCATAAAATATTTCCTCACATACACATTTTTTTATTGTGTACTTTATTACATACTTCATGGCAAGTTTTTACAATTACTCCATTCTTTGACCGACCTATTTCGTTTTCATTATTGTTATTATTATGCCACTTAATTTACAATCGGTATCTTTGTTATGTAGCGTATTAAATAATTTTATTAACATACGTAGTAAAATTTATATAACAAAATAATTTCGTAGATGCATGACACACATACGCCCGAATTATATTATACACAATAATTATTATAGCAATACTAATTTTAATTCTTTCCGCTATAATTAATTAACCTTATAAGTCGAATATGCTGGTCCCAATAAAGGTCACTGATTCATAGAAATATTACTTATTAATACTGTAGGTCGTATTTCTTTCGACTTTAGCCAATTTTATAATAATTTAGCAAACATTACAATTGAAAAACACATATCTATGTACACACACACGTTCTCATATACACATACCATTAAAATACATAGATAACAAATATTCACGAAGATATGCCCAAATTGAATATTTAAATGTTTCTTTTTAAGAATCATGTAATCATATATTTACACAAAAATATACGATCTTTTTTCATGTGAGAAGAATCTTTATTACAGGCAAAAACGAAATATTATATTTATAAG